GCTACATTTAAAAGGCTAAAAGGGTGCATACAGATGTAAAAATACACTTAAGATCTGTGCGTCTTTCTGAATGTATTTTATACTGCAATTTTTTTTAAAAAGCTTTAATGAGATTTTTCCACTCTCCTTTCCTCAGATCATCCAATGGCTTCCCATTATACTAAAACTTAAATCCAAACTCCTAACCAAGATCTAAAAAGCTGTGCAAGTTCTGGCCCCTACCTGCTCCCTCCAACCCTCTTTCCTAGGTCTCTCCCAGGGTTCAACTCTGCTTTACCTTCACTGGTCTCCCTGCTGTGCCTCCAACATGCCCACATCTGAGGACCTGGGCACTGGGAGTCCTGCTGCCACTGCTGGGAACTAGTCTAGACTTGCTCTTACCTCCCCCCACCAGACAGCTCTCCTCCACAAATGGCTTAAATTGGGTGTGGGAAATAAGATTATGGAGCAGAAGGTGATCAATGAGTGTATAGTAATGATGGTTAACATTGTTAGAGCATTTACCTGACTTGGGCACTTTTCTGACCACGTTACATTGATTAACTCACCCCACCTCGTCATTAACCTATGAGATGATCACCATTTACAGAAGAAATTGAGGCACTGATTAGTTAAGTAGTAACTTGATATAATCACACAACTCAAAAGTGGCAAAACTAGGATTTGAACCGAGGCAATATAGATGAAGAGCTCTTATTCTTTTTAAATGCATCCATTTTAAGTGTATAGTTCCATTTGTTTTAACAAATGTATACACCCATGTAAGCAACCTTTTGATCAAGATAAAGAACATTGCCCCTAAAAGTTCCCTTGTGCCCTTCTGCGGTGAATCTCCCCATCCTTGGCAACCACTAATCTCCTTTCTGTCACCGTAGATTAGATTTGTCTATTCTAGAGTTTTATATAAGTAGATTCATACAGTATATAGGTTTCTGGCTTCATAGCTCTGGGTTTCAGAGCTTTCCAGGGTTTTTAACCACTGCCTTATACTACTTCCTGGTATAGCTTCTTTCACCACTTACCTATCAAATTGGCTACTCCTCAGGACTTCCCTGGCAGTCCAGTGGTTAAGACTCTGTGCTTCCACTGCAGGGAGCACGGGTTCGATCCCTGGTCAGGGAACTAAAGATTCCACATGCTGTGTGGCATGCCAAAAAAGTTTTTTTAAATGGCTACTCCTCAACATCAGCCACCCATCTATATCCTATCACTGCTTTTACGCACGCCACTCCAAGCACACGAGATTGTCAGAATGGGGAGTGTAAAGAGGGACAAAACAGGGTCAGTGACAGCCCCTCTAAGATACCATAAAGTTCCAGTGAGAGATGCTAACAAGTGAAGCCCCAAAATTCCTATCCTTAAAGAGCTTATAATCCAGTTACAGAGAGGGGATAGCTTATATATAAAGCCAATAAGTCACAAGGCAAAACATTCATTCATTCAACAAGGACTTATTCAGTAAATATAAAATAGTATAATGTGACTAAGCAATTGGCTCTGGAGTTCAGACAGATCTTACTTCATCTACCACTTCTTAGCATGTGACCTTGGTCAAGTAACTTAGTATCAGTTTCCTGATCTTAAAATTGGCATAACAGCAAAATCTACCTAAGGGGTTGTTTTGAGGATTGAGATAATGCATACAAAACACTTAGTACAGTACCTGGCACATAGTAAGAGTTCAATAAATATTAGCCATTATTATTTTTACAATTATTGTATATGTTAGGTACCTTTCAACACTCGGGAGATACAGATTAATAGAATGAGATTCATTAAAGGTTCTTAAGGGATTCAGTTTAGTGCAGGGATACTTAGACTGGGATCCATGAAACTTCTGGAATTTTTGCTTCAGGATATTGGATATATATGCATGTATGTATTTTTTCTTGGGTAGGGTCCACAGCTTTTGTCATATTCTCAAAGGACTGTCCCATGACCTACAAAACACTGAGGACCCATCATCTGGAGCATGCATTCTCAATGGGGGTGGTATCGCTCCCCCACACACAAGAAGTCAAAAATTGGTTCAGGGATGGGAATCTTAGATATTACAATGTTTATGTCCTTCCAAAGGGCCATAGTACATATGCAGAGACACAGAATATTGGTGATATTAAAATTCCATGCATAGGGGGAAGGCAATTAGGAAACAATGTCAGAGGATGTGCAAAAACTAAAAAACAAACAGATGTGCAAACTGAAGTACCTAAGTGTACAAGCAATACTAGCTCTGTTCAGAGAATTGCTGAGTACTAGAGTCTGAAAGAACCAGAGGGTGGAGAGATAAAGGAGAGTTTAGGGGAGTAAAACTCAGTGAGTAGAGGAGGCATTCAAGAATCATTGAACAAAGAAAAGCTTAGAGATTCTGAGAACGAATGCCTGAGAAAAAAAGTGGCTCCAAAGAGAGAAGTAGGGAATTCAGCAAAGGCACTAATTTACTCTATGATGGTGTGAATTCATCAACACGATATCAGATAACAGCAGAAAATACCACATAGGGGGAGTTCCCTGGTGGCCTAGTGGTTAGGATTCCGGGCTTCCACTGCCGTGGCCCAGGTTCAATCCCTGGTCAGGGAAGTGAGATCTCAGAAGAGTCCATTCATTTGATAGGTAACCTGAAGACAGAAAGAACACAGAGACTGAAAAAAGCCTCCCACCACCTGGGGCTGCTTCAGTGCTGTGCAGGGTTCCAAGTGCTCCTGGGACCTCAGCTTATGACCACATACAGAACTCTGAAATTACGAGGTCAGTTCATCCCATGATGACTCAGAAGACTGGCATCCAGTCATGATGTGAAATATCACATCTAATCTTCCAAGTTTTTTTTTTGGCTGTGCCACGCAGCATGCAGGATCTTAGTTCCCCAACCAGGGATTGAACCCATGCCCCCTACAGTGGAAGCGGGGAGTCTTAACCACTGGACCACCAGAGAAGTCCTTCCCCCAAGCTTTTGACATATGGAATCAGACATCCATTAGACGACCCAACCTGCATATCTCACAACACACCTCAAAGTCGGCATATCCAAAACTGAACCTATCGTTTTTATCCTGCCCCCCTAAATTCTTCCTGCTGCATACTCTCATATTTGATGCCACCCTCCCCTTCATTCACCGTATCCAATCTAATACCAAGTCCTAATTTGCCTTTTAAATATCTCCCTACTGCATCTCCCCCTTTTCTTCCCTACTTCTGTCACAGTCCTCCTCTCTCACCTGAATTGCTGCCAGATGCATAACTTATTACCTTGCCCCCAGTCTTCATCTCCCCCATATCTACTTTCTACAGTGCAACCATGGTTCTAAAACACCAAGTTGTCATCCCCTTGCTTAAATCCCTACTGTGGCTTCCCATCATGGATAGCAACTTCCCAACCAGTGTGCCTTGACAATGATGCTCAGTTATTAATTCCCTCAGCACTCTGGACTGCTAAGCAGAGACTGGGATAGCTAGAATTCTTAAGCCAATAGCCTCGAGCCTGAAGAACCCTCCTCTCTTTACCTCAATGTGTTGTTTGAAATGGTTCTGTGCCCTGATGTGAAAAAGGGCTGAGAAGCACTGATCTTTGGGAGCTCCCTAACTGGCTCTGACCTCATCCCGCCTCCAGCACCGAACAGTGTTATTAGCTTTAGCGAATTATATACCATGCTACTCATCAATCTCCGCTTCTGCTCAGAAACATCCCATCCACCTGGAATGAGCTTCCCTTCATCTCTGTCTGAGAAGCTTCTAAACTTCCTTTAAGATTATATTCAAGTATCACTTTTTTCCCAGGAAGTTTTCATGCCAGGACTTTCATGCCAGGTTAGATACCCTTCCTTACGCTCCCCAAAATATTTTGTTTCCTATGTGTCAGTCTACCCCCTCGGTAATGATCAGACAGCAGAACCACCTTGCTCATCTTTGCATCTTCAGCGGCCACCAGCACAGAGCCCTTGTATGTACCATGTTACATGAATGAGAATGATGCAAGAGAACGAGAGAGCTACGCTCACCTTTTCTTTCCTAGAGTTTAGTTCGTGGTTACATAAGAGCTTCAGAGAAGGGGGTGATATAACAGGATTAAATGTGGCAAAGAACAGAATAGGCCATTGGATTTGGTCTAGTTACTGCTCTAGTTACTGCAAGTCTGAGCACAGATTTAAATATGATGGAAATCAGGTCTGGAAGGACTGAGAATGAGGAAAAAATAGGAATAAGATACAAATCCCTTACCCAAGATACCTGGTGGTATGAAGAATGAAAGAAAATGACGGCTTACTGAGTTCCTACTGTCCCATTTCAATTGTTTTGCAATCATTTAAGACATTTATATGGTTCCAAAGAAAACCACATTAACATAGTACACTCAGAGAAATCCAGTTTCCTCCATATCCCTTCCCTTCCCCCAGTGGTAACAACTTCCATTAGTTTTTGGTTTATCCTTCCATTTTTAAAATATAGACAAATGTATATATTACGTGTCACCCCTTAGATAAGGAAGCACACTATACATTCTGTTCTGCATGTTAGTTTCTTTACTTAACATATCCTGGAGCTCTCTCCAAACAGTATGAGGAGTCTCCCTCATTCCTCTTTCACTGCTGCTCAGTACTCTACTGTATAGATTTACCAGTTTATTCCACCATTCCCTTACTGATGGATACGTTGAGTTGTTTCCAATCTACTGTTATTACAAATAGTGCTGCAAAGAATAGCTTTGTGCATGTTACTTTATATTTTTGCCATCATATCTCCAGGAACTTTACTTCTGTTCTCACTTAATACTCACAATAACCGATGCCATGGATACTGGGTCTCCATCTTATCTATAAGCTTGATGTAAGGAAACAACTGCTATAGTACACAGCAGTCAAGCAACTGCAACAGCACATTACAGAATAAGCCCTTAAAACATGGAATAAACACCCTCACTCCTACCTTACCATTCTTCTCCCAATATACATCTCTTCTTAGAGAAAAAGAAGTTATTTTGCCAAGTTAAACACCACAAAGAATAAACAAGGAGTTTAGTTTTATTTTCTCTGTGCATTTGCAAAACACTTGGGACTGACACAGAAAAAAATAAAACCTCCTGTGAAAAAAATTACACTTACAAAAGGAGGCCTGAGAGGGATTAGCGCCTTAGCCCCTGGGAGCTACAGCAACTCTGATTGGTCCAAGGAAGTGAACAGATATTGGGAGGCTATAACAAGAGGAAAGGCAATGAGAAATCACTGAGGGAGAGGGCCTCGAAGTGGGCCTCGAGGGGGAACTGGAGGCCGGGGAGTGGGCCTGGGTGGAGGGAGGGGCCCCCGCTGGTAGCCGTAGGGTGGAGGTCGTGGAGGGCCAGTGTATCCATGAGGGGGCATCAGTGGAGGAGGTCCACGCATACCATGCGGAGGCATAGGACCTGGGTGACCTGCAGGAAGAAAAGGAAAACTTAGTAAAAACAAGAAACAGGAGACAGTTCACACTGGGACAATGCAGACAGAGGATAGACAGGGAGACAGTGAAAAGAAATCTAAGAAAGAAAAGTAAGGAAGTGCAGTGGATAAGAGGTGTGACAAAAGAAGCTGCAAGAATGCCACGTGAGGATGAGGGAGGTGGCTAGAGCTTACTCACCCATGGGAGAGCCGAATGGAGGCCCTCGGGGGGGCATGCCCATTGGAGGAGGTCCAGGATGAGGCATTCCAGGTGGTGGTCGGGGTGGTGGCTGCCCCCCAGAGCCAGGGGGCCCAGCATGGGGGTGTCCTAAGCCATGAGGGCCATGGTGGGCCAGCTGCATCTGAGACATTCCTATGAGAACAAAACAGACACAGAGAAAGGAGACAAAAGGAAGTTAGACAAGAGGGCAAAGAAAACGAGACAGGAAGAGAAGAAAATGGAGAAGCAAGTGACATCAGGAAGAAGGGCATGGAAAATAAGGCTGGTAAAAAGTGCCCTTATCCTTGACTCCATTCCAAGAGAACCAACCAACCAACTACCCAATCAACTCCCTGCCCCCTGCAGCTCACTTGGTCCTTCCATGATTTAGGCACTGTAATAGTGCTGCAACAGTACATAACAAATGGCGTGATTATTCTACGGAGTAGGATTTGGGAAGGTAACAGAGATGCTGTCTGAGCGAAGATCTAATTCTAAAGGATGAAAAGGAATTTTTCAGGTGGACAGCAGAATGGAAACAGAATATTCCAGGCAGAAAAGACTAGCATGTGCAAAGCACGTGTATCATCAACAGCATAGTATGTGAAAGGAAATCCAGTAACTCAGTAATCAGGAGCAGCGTGCAGTCATAGGAGTAAGGGGAAGGAGCCAGATGGTGAAAAGCCTAGAATGCTACGGCAGTGAGTTTGGGTTTCACTCTGTAGATAAAAGGGAGCAGCAGAAGAATTTTGAGCAAGGGTGTGTGAACATCTGTGTTTTAGAAAAATTACTCTGTGGAAGTCGATGAAAGGTAGAGATAATTAGAGTCAAAGTGTCAGGATATTACTACAATAAATTAGGTGTGAAATAATGAGGATATGAGAGCCTGAACTAGGGTACTGGCAGTGGAGGTCGATGCCAGATATAAATAAGACTTGGTATTAAGAGTGGGGTGACAGGGAATAGTCAAACATAACTCCTAGATTTCTGAATCAAGCACCTGAAAACAAAGAAAACAAGAGAAAGAATAGGTTTGAAGGGGAATGGCAGAAGAATGGAGTTGTCCATTAAACACCAAGATTAAGGGTATGCAATGTTAATAACCATGGAACAGAGATACAGATCTAGGAGGCATCAGTGTACAAATAATGGAACTATGCAGAAAAGAGAGCCAAACACAAAAACCTAGGTACAAGCAGAGAAAAAGGAGCCTATTAAGGTGGATGAGATTGAGGATTCAGAGAAATAGATGGAGAATCCACAAAAATCAAAAGAGACAAGATTTTCAAACAGGAGGACATGGCCAGTTTCAAGTACAGCAAAGGTCAAACCAGATAAGGAGCAGAAGTGTCCCCTAGACCTGGCAATTAGGTCACTGCTTTTGGGTGGAATTCAGAGGAGAGAATGGAAGTAAAAGTTAAGGAAACAAAAAATAGCAAGTATAGTTAAACTCTTTGGTAAAACTGAAATAAGAAATGAAGACAGGGTGGTAGTTGTTAAAGTAAACAGAGTAAAGTATCTTGTATTTACTTTTACAAAAGAATGTCTGAAAGAAAGGAGAACTCTGGGACTATTTATTATTGCTGAAGGACAAAGAGCAGCAGCATAAGTGGTGATAGAGCTCCTCTACCAAGCTCATCCCTCTCCTTCCCAGCAAAGAACACCCACCTGGATGGGGCATCCCACCCGGTGGGAATGGGTGAGGATGTGAGTGTCCATGTCCAGGATGTCCAGCCCCTGGGGTTCCTGCTGATGGGGGGCCATGTCCTCCAGCTCCAGGAGGCATAGGGGGTGGGGGCAGGGCTGGGGGTATCCCAGGTGGAAGGGCTCCAGGAGGCGGTACTGGTGGTGGGAAGGAGCCAGGAGGAGGCATGCCTATAGAGAAAATGTAAAAAGAGTTAACGACAGTGAGAAGAGAGTGCCTTTAGAGAGCCTGTTCCAATCTGGCCTCTCCAGGAAGGATGAGCTCTTTCCCCCTCCTCCCAGCTCTCTAAAGTCAGAAGCAATGCTAGATGACTCAAACAACACCTTCTGGAGAAACTCAACAACTTGCTTCCCTCCACAATCATCACCCCTCAATCCGTTTCTTATCACCTACTGACTCAATGTCCTTCCCTTTCCAGGTTCTTTTTCCTTCTCCTTACCTGCCAGCCCCCCAACCCAAGACAAACATGTTTTGTTTTTTGTCTTTTTTTTTTTGTGGTACGTGGGCCTCTCACTGTTGTGGCCTCTCCCGTTGCAGAGCACAGGCCACAGGCTCCAGACACACAGGCTCAGTGGCCATGGCTCACGGGCCTAGCCACTCCGCGGCATGTGGGATCTTCCCGTACCGGGGCACCAACCCGTGTCCCCTGCATCGGCAGGCGGACTCTCAACCACTGCACCACCAGGGAAGCCCCCAAACATATTTTTTATCAAAAGCTTTACCTGGTGGAGGAAGCCCAGACCCCAGTGATGATACCACAGGATTCGGAGCAGAGGGTGGAGGGGGTGCATCTGCAAACAGCTGATGAGGGCGGTCAGCCTGGGAGAGTGGGTTCTGTGCTGCCAGAAGTCGTTCAGCAGCTGAGCCATGGCGTTCACCCTTGGAGTCCTTCTTGAAAGCATAGGATACGGTGATTGGGCGGTTACAGAGGTACTGCCCATTCATGGCCTCAATCGCTGCATCCGAAGCATCAAATGAAGCAAAATTAATAAAGGCATAACCTTTGGAGTTGCCTGTGTCAGGGTCCCGCATAATCTTGGGGGTTTGTAAGATGACCCCAAAGGCGCTAAAAGTATCATAAAGCAACTTCTCATCGATCTCTGGGTCCAGGTTCCCAATGAAAATGTTGGCCCCCACATCCAGGTTTTTGTTGTGAGCTGATGCCTTGTTCACCCGTATGGGTTTCCCATAGAGTTTGATCATGTTCATGATCTTAATGGCATAGTCAGCATCTTCCTCACTCAAGAATTCCACAAAGCCATAGCCTGGGGGAGTGGAAAGAAGAGGTTAACAAGTGATTCCAAATGAGGTATAACTCATTTGCCTTCTGAAGCACAAAGAACAAGAAATAGTAATCTCACTTCAACTGAGAATGGTTCCAGAAACAAACTGTGAGTTAGGCTTAAGAGAAAAAAATCCTTAGTTTGCTCATTCCAAGACAGTAATGAATACTGCTGGGGGCCTCCTGGAGCAGCCTGTCCCCTCAAGACATAACTGCAATTCTTGCCATGTACTCACCTTGGTGCTGACCAGTGACTCTATCCTTTGGCATGTGGGTGTTGACTACTGGCCCTGCCTGGAGAAATAGCTCCCACAGCAGCGGTTCGCTAACCTTCTCATCGAGGCCCCCCACATACACAGTGGCATCTGGAGGACAGGATTAGGAAATTAGGGCAGAGATGAGAGGAAATAGGGAGGTAACGGGAACATGAAGATGGAACCCAGGCGGGGGATTTGGGGGTTGAGACAGGGTATAGGAGCAAAGAGGGAAAGGGAG